CTGTGCCTGTGAACGCTTAAACGTGTGTGAGAACGCTCCAGACAAATTGCTAATTTTGAGTGGTACGTACAAGCAAATTCCGTACTATTTATATGTTAAGTGTATTGTTATAAGCTGAGAAGTGCATAGAGTATACTTCTACATAGACAAATATCCGTACTTTGGTAGAATCAACATAATACTTAATATACAAACCATAAACTTCCCAGTGAAGGAATTACAACGTTATCAGTGGAATAAAATTGCAAAAAAGCTAGACATTTATAGTCTAAACATTCCATTTAGTAAAGGTGACCATACACTGAAATAACAAAATTGGGATAAAATTATTGTTGATATGCCAGATACAGAAAAAAATATTACATTGAAACAACTGTATGATAAAATAGTTAGAAATAGGAGCGAAATAAAAAGCTTAATCCAGGCAAGTGAAACTAAATTACAGAAAAAAATTGAAAAATTGGAAGTTACGATTATAAAACTAAAAGCAGAAAATCAAGAATTACGTACTGAAATAGAAGAAATCAAGAGAGATGAGAAGAAAAATAGTATCATAACCTTTGGTTTATACAAACGAAATGAATCATTATCCTGCAGTCAATTATGTCAAAGGCTCAACAATTTAATTTCTGTTTCCCTAGTAGAGACAGATATAAACAACTTTTACTTCTTGGGCAAAACAAAAAGTTGTCCACTAAAAATTGAATTTACTCGATTTCTTACAAAATTAGACGTACTAGCAAACAGGAAGAAATTAAAAGGTGTCAACATCAGCATTGTTGCTGATCTTACTAAACAGCAACAAACCGAACGCAAACTGCTCCAAAAATATTTACTGAGTGCCAAACAAAAAAAACAGAACTGTTATATAAAGAACAACAAATTGTATGTTGAGGATGAAGTATTCACCGTGGATGACCTTTGGGAAAGAGAACATCAAGAGGAAAACGCAGATGAGATATTTGCTGAGATACCTTCATCTCCTACATCACCAAGAAGAATAATAAACTGTGAGGCCCTTTCCTCAACACAACAGGAAAGTCAAGGTGCCAGGAAGAAAGAAGAAGTTAGAGAGGTATTTATTAAAACAGCTCAAAAACCAATTACTCGGGCCCAAGAAAGAAAAGTTAGTAATAAATAAAATAACTGTTATACGATATAAGTTTAAATGTATTTTTGATTTTTTCTTTGTTTTTGTCTTTTCTTGTTTGTCTAGAATATTAAGAGTACATGTTAGAGGAAGTAAGCAAGAGGTATGATAAATACATACTTTTAAAATGGATAATTATATAAATAATTTTGAAATAGAAAAAATTAATACAAATGAGATAAATAACATTTCTGATTGTATACAATTACTGGCAGAACAACAAAATATAAATATTAAAATTTTTCATAGTAATGTTAGAAGCATAGAAAAAAATTTTGATGAATTCGAGGTAATGTTGCATGTACTGGAAACTGATTTTGACTTTATAGTATTTACTGAAACATGGAAACTGTTAAATAAGCAATTGTATAATATTCCTGGTTACATGTTGGTGTACAATGAAGGCGACATAACTAAAGCAGATGGAGTTCTCGTGTATGTGCGAGAAAATATTAATTTTACGAATAGCATAGTCTGTTTGGGAGATATAAAATGCCTGGAAATAAAATTCACTGTCCTTGATAAAAAATGTTTATTAACATCGATATATCGTTCCCCTTCCACTAATATTGACACTTTTTTAACAAATCTCAATAACTACCTAGAAAATAGCGATAAAACAGTAGATTTACATTTCTTTGTTGGTGACATAAATATAGATATTCTGCAAAATAGTAATCGTGATTCTGAATGTTACCTCAATGTATTTTCTGCGGCAGGCTTCTTATCAACCATCAATAAACCCACAAGGCTGGAAAAAACATGTCTGGATCACATCTTTGTAAAAAGTAAAAATATAAATTTTGTACATTATCCCATTATTTTAAGACCTCGAGTCACAGATCATTCCCCGATAATTTTACAAACTGTTTTTCCTGAAGCAAATAAAAATACAACAAAAATTAGTAGCGACTATAAATATTACTTAATAATAGACAAATTAAAATCATTTCTAAATAATGAAACTTGGCAAGATGTGTATAACACATCTAATATAAACTACGCTACACAAATTTTTATAGACAAGCTAACATCATATATACAAAAAAGCACAAATAAAGTTAAAAAATCTAATAAGGACAAGAAACGAAAGGAATGGATTACAAATGGTATTATTAAGTCTATAAACAAAAAAAATCAACTCCACAAAATTATGATGGATCAGCCTGTCGCGGAAAATATAGAGGCGTTCAAAAGATATCGAAATAAACTAAACGATTTGATAAAAATAACGAAGCAAAATTATTTTAAAT